TTGTCCCAACTTTTGTTCTTTGCTTTTTATTTCTCCTTTCTCTTGTCCTCACTTTCATTCTTTCCTCTTTATTTCTCCTCTCTGTCTCGTCCCCACTTTTGTCTTCTCTTTATTGCTCCTCTCCTTTCTCCCCACTTTCTTTCTCTCTCCTCTTTATTTTTCCTCTAACTTCTACCCACTTTCATTCTTTCCTCTTTATTTCTCCTCTCTCTTCTCCACACTTTCACTCTCTCCTCTTTGTTTCTCCACTCTCTTGTCCCAACTTTTGCTCTTTCCTTTTTATTTCTCCTCTCTCGTCCCTACTTTCATTCTTTCCTCTTCATTTCTCCTTTTCTCTTGCCCTCACTTTCATTCTCTCCTCTTTATTTCTCCTCTCTTTTCTCCCCACTTTCATTCTCTCCTCTTTATTTCTCCTCTCTCTTGCCCTCACTTTTTTATTCTCTCCCTTTTCTCTCTCTTTTTCTCCCTTCGTTCATTCTCTACTCTCAGTTTCTCCTGTTTCCCTTTATCAGTTTTTCATCCTCTCCTCTCTATTTCTCCTCCCTTTTTTTCCCCTCTTTCATTCTCTCATCTTTCTTTCTTTTACACTTTCAATCTCTCCTCTTTATTTCTTCTCTCCCTTTTCCCCACATTTTATCTCTCTTCTTTATTTCTCCTCTCTCTTCTCCACACTTTCACTCTCTACTCTTTTTTCTTTCTCTTGTCCCAACTTTTGTTCTTTTTTTTTTCCTTTCTCCTCTCTCTTGTCCTCACTTTCATTCTTTCCTCTTTATTTCTCCTTTCTCTTGCTCCTACTTTCATTCTCTCCTCTTTTTTTTCTCCTCTAACTTCTCCCCACTTTCATTCTCTCCTCTTTTTTTCTCCTCTCTCTTGCCCTCACTTATTTTTCTCTCCTCTTTATTTCTGCTCTGTCTTGCCCCTACTTTCATTCTTTTCTGTTTATTCCTTTAGATTGTAAGCTCCATGAGCAGGGCCCTCACATTCCTTCTGTACTGAAATGTATTGTCTCCCGTTATATTGTAAGGCGCTGCGCAAACTGTTGGCGCTGTATAAATCCTGTATAATAATAATAATTTCTCCTCTCTCTTGCCCTCACTTTCATTCTGTCCCCTTTATTTCTCCTGTCTTGTCCCCACTTTTTTTCTCTCCTCCTTATTTTCTCCTCTATCTCTCTCTTGTCCCCACTGTCATTCACTCCCTTTTCTCTTTTCTCCTCATTTTCATTCTCTCCTCTTTTTTCTCCTCTGTCTTGTGCCCACTTTCATTCTCTCCTTTTTATTTCTCCTTTCTCTTCCCTCCAGTTTCATCCTCTCCTCTTTATTTCTCCTCTCTCTTTCCCCCACTTTCATTCTCTCCACTTTGTTTCTCCACTCTCTTGTCCCAACTTTTGTTCTCTATTTTTATTTCTCCACTCTCTTGTCCCACTGTCATTTCGCTCCCTTTTCTCTCTCTTCTCCTCACTTTCATTCTCTCCTCTTTATTTCTCCTCTCTCTTGCCCTCAGTTCATTCTCTTTCGTTTATTTCTCCTCTGTTTTGCCCCCACTTTCATCATTCTCTCCTCTTTAGTTCTCTTTCTTGCCCCCACTTTCATTCTCTCCTCTTTATTTCTCCTCTCACTCCCATTTTTATTCTCTCCTTTTATTTCTTCTCTGTCTTGTCGCCACTTTCATTTTCTCCCTTTTATTTCTCCTCTGTCTTCCCCCCCACTATCCCACTATCTGTCTTTCTCCCTCTATTCTTTCCTTTTTTTTTTCTGTTTTAACCAAGGCCTCCATACTTCATTCCCACGTTGGCTTCATTGCTATAATGAAGAGGATGGGAGGACGAAGGCGCTGGAATGAGTAGGCACAATCTTGGGCCTGGGGGTTCATATTTTGTCCCCCAACTGAATTCAAACTTTTAAGATGGAAAACTTAGCAAGAAACTTTAATGCTTTCTTCTTGTGGTGGGTGTAGAAATATTTTTTATCTTTCCATCTTTTAGGTGAAAGAGACAGAAACTCCGGTGTTGAGATGTCTTTAATGCAGCCCCCAAGAGATTCAGCAACTGCAGCAACAAAGGGAGCACAGAACAAATAAGTAAATTTTGTGTTGAACAATCTCTTTAAAGTCAACCAAAAGTCAAAGTTTAGGCTTCCATGTATTAGCACCCCTGCTGTCCTAACACATACCTTTCAAATCAGGTATTTATATTCCTTCCGAACTCAGGTCTCAGCTCTAGCCATGGGTGAGGAATCACCTAAACACCATCAGCACACAAGAAACGTTTCCAGGTCACTGATTGGTCCATTAGGGAAAGCCGTTAGATGGCTCTACTTTACAGTGTACTATATCTCTCACCAAAACTGTTTTTGATTATTTTAGATAGAGTAGCAAAGGTTAAAACCATGTCAGTTCTCTTTTTACTGCCTGTGTCCCATCCAGGGAGCGTCTCTTCACTTCCTATCCAAGGGATGCAACCAGAAGTGAGTGGAAATCTCTTTAAAGTGACAGTTGTTGCCAGAAACAGTGTCCCCATTGGATGACTTCCCACCTGTTTTCCTTCCAGTGACAATGGTTACCAGGACACCCAGAGAGCGATGAAAGTGGAAAGAGTACTGGTGATGTTAACTCATGGTATTGATGCTGGCGTAAATGACCTGGTTCATGGGCAGGCAGCTTCTACACCCCAGAGGATCTCCACATTCTACTTGGCTTAAAGTGTAGTATAACAAGAATTGAAATTGAAGCACCACACCACTGCTAGAGGTCCAGATACAACTTTATTCCATTAAAAGTCAGAGGTAAAATCCAAAAAGTAGCCAACACATTTCCAGGGATCCAAGTGCCCCTTCATCAGGACTTGACTGGCAACAATGAGAACAAACCAGAAGTGAAATGGACCAACAATTGTATTTTTTCCAGTGTGAATTACAAGCACAGGCCTTATCAGAAGCTTGTTTGGCTGCTACTGGAAAAAAGTACAATTGTAAGTACAGTTCACATCTGGTTTGTTCACATTGTTTCCAATCAAGCCCTGATGAAGAGGGTGCTTGAAGCCCTGAAACACGTTGGATACTTTTTTGGATTGTGTCCAGGACTTTTAATGGAATAAGGTTTTATGTGGACCTCTTAGTCGTGGTGTGGTACTTCATATTCAATTCTCGTTACAATATGCAGAGAGTAAGATAGGGGTTCTAACCCTTCCGCACTCCATCCACACTAAAAAAAAGGTTTTGGCTACAGATAAACATTAAAACACATACATGGATCATTCAAATCGAACTTTTTTGGATTGTGTCCAGGACTTTTAATGGAATAAGGTTTTATGTGGACCTCTTAGTCGTGGTGTGGTACTTCATATTCAATTCTCGTTACAATATGCAGAGAGTAAGATAGGGGTTCTAACCCTTCCGCACTCCATCCACACTAAAAAAAAAGGTTTTGGCTACAGATAAACATTAAAACACATACATGGATCATTCAAATCGAACTTTTTTGGATTGTGTCCAGGACGTTTAATGGAATAAAGTTTTATGTGGACCTCTTAGTCGTGGTGTGGTACTTCATATTCAGTTCTCGTTACATTATGCAGAGAGTGAGATAGGGGTTCTAACCCTTCCCCACTCCATCCACACTAAAAAAAAGGTTTTGGCTACAGATAAACATTAAAACACACACATGGATCATTCAAATCGAATGCTACTAATTTAACACTTAATCACAAAGTAACAGAGGTTGAAAAACACAAAAGGCCATCAAGTTCAACCAACTTGCATAAACAGAATCCTATACCCACAGTAGATCCAGAGGAAGGCAAAAAAAACCCTTTAAAACCATGGTTACATTTGCACGAAATGGGGGAAAATTTCTGGTCTTTCTAAATAAACTTTCTAAACAAAGGGCCAGTTTTACTTTAGGGGGCCGGATTGTGGCTGGTGGAAGTAAAAAAAAATGTCTTGGCATCATTGGGGGTTAACAACACCTCAGGTTTGATGGTCAGTGGGAAACAAAAATGACATAGCACTTTAAATCACTAGTAGGAGGAATAGCACCCTAATATTGGTATTAGTGGGAGGAAATATGCCCCATTGTTGGTGTTAGTGGAAAGAATTATGCCCCGTCATTGATGTCAGTAGAAAGAATTGTGCCACATAGTTGGTCATTGTGAGTAGTAGGAAAATGGTGCCCTGTCATTGGTGTCAGTAAAAGTGGTAGGAAAGTGCCCCATCATTGGTGTCAGTAGAAGTGGTAGGAATAGTGCTCCATCATTGGTGTCAGTAGAAGTGGTAGGAATAGTGCCCCAATATTGTTGTCAGTAGAAGAAATGGTGTTGCATCATTGGTGTCAGTAGGAAGAATAGTTTCTCAAACAGTAGGTATAATAGTGCCCCAAGAGCCAGATAAAAGCAAGCCAAGGGCCACATCTTGCAGTTTAGATACCCCTGCCCTAAGGCAATCAAAATATTTTAAAAGGTCTAGCTAAATCTTAATGGGAACAGTGATTCATGATTTGCAGTCCTATACTGGCCAGTCCACTGATAGGTACAAAAAATACATTATTTATATGTACTCACTGTACTGTATAGTATTATCTCTTAAGGTACAAGCCATTGGCCAAAACCTCCCTTCTTATTCTCCATTAACAATTTTGGTTAATCTCACCTGCATAATTATAAGTTTAAAAAATGTATATAGTCTTTTTTTGTTTTTTGAAGATTTTCTTTAGTGGGGTTTAGACAGTTTTGTAATTAATGTACTAGTATATTATATTAAAAAAATTTTTAATAGGTTAGAAGTGTTAAATGGCCCTTGAGATTGGCTAGCTAAATGTTATAATAAGAGATATATGAAAGAGTAATAGAGTAACTTTATCATCTTTAAAACAGTATATGTAATTTTTATTATGATTTTACTATTTTATATATATATATATATATATATATATACATGTGTGTGTAATAGAGTAACTTGAATAAATCTAACTTTATCATCTTTATAGGAGTGTGTGTGTAGCTTATTATTGATAGCTGTACTATAAATGTACTACCGGTATATATAAATGAGATCAGGGGCGGACTGACAACTCATGGGGCCCCCGGGCAATAGGGGATCATGGGGCCCCTGTGTCCTTGCCCAAACTCAATAAAGCCTATGAAAAAGGTACCAGGGGCATCTCATGGGGCCCCCCTACTGACCCCGGGCCCTCGGGCAGTGCCCGAGTTTCCAAATGGTCAGTCTGCCCCTGAATGAGATATAGTAGAGCAGTGGTGGGCAACCATTTTTTTCAACTGAGCCAAATCTCGCCAAAACCACGATTGAAATTTATTTTGAGAGCCACATTTTTAAAACTGAAAATACATCCCCCATATAGTAATTCATCCCCCATAGTAATTCATCCCCCATAGTAATTCATACCCCATATAGTAATTCATCCCCCATAGTAATTCATCCCCCATATAGTAATTCATCCCCCATAGTAATTCATTCCCCCATATAGTAATTCATCCCCCATAGTAATTCATCCCCCATATAGTAATTCATCCCCCATAGTAATTCATCCCCCATATAGTAATTCATCCCCCATAGTAATTAATCCCCCCATCCCCCATAGTAATTCATCCCCCATAGTAATTCATCCCCCATAGTAATTAATCCCCCATATAGTAATTCATCCCCCATATAGTAATTCATCCCCCATAGTAATTCATCCCCCATATAGTAATTCATCCCCCATAGTAATTCATTCATAGTAATTCATATTGTGTCAATTCACTTACCTTTGCTCCCGCGCGTTCCTCTCGCCATGTTCCCGCGCTGTTCCGGTCTTCAGGGCGGACTGTGAGAGGAGTTCGTCACGCTGCCCGCCTACATCCTGACAGCCAATGTTTGCCACGCTCCGCGGGCCGGATTAAAAGGTCCGCCTGGCCGTATACGGCCGCGGGCCGTAGTTTGCCCATTGCTGGGCTAGCTGCAGAGTCCTGACTTTTGGGGCGGCCGCCCGAGAGGAGGGAGGGGAGCAGGCGCCCGGCACACAGAAGAGCCGCATTAAAGTGTGTAAAGAGCCGCATGTGGCTCGCGAGCCGCGGCTTGCCGACCACTGTAGTAGAGCAATAGAGTAACTTATAACTGTCGTTATAGGAGTATGTGTTACTTTTATTGTGATTAACATTCTCTAACTTTATATAGTATATATATATATAATATATATATATATATATATATATATATATATATATATATATTAGATTGCAGGGCCCTCCTATCCCTCTTGTATTGAGCTGTATTGTTGCTGTATTGTCTCCCTTTATATTGTAAAGTGCTGAGCAAACTGTTGGCGCTATATAAATCCTGTATAATAGTAATATATGTTTTGGGGTTTTTTGTTTTTTTTTTAATCACACACAAAAAAAAGGATTGAGTTATTTTGACGTGAAAACTACCCCACTCAGAGCTCCCATAACAACTCTGTTCAGGATAGAAGATTAATGATCTCACATTAGTATTTTCAAACACTCTTTGCAGTCAATTAATAATTGCAGTCATCACAAACGTTGAGCAAAACCAGACTGCTTTCTTTTCCCCTCCGTGACACAAGCCAGAGCCAAGTGACTCCCCCCACCACCCCATCATAGCCAACATGACAGGATCCTCCAGGTAGCACACCATGACCCCCAACCATTCTTATTTTACAGCGGGGGGCTTATTCTGGGGAAACAAGTCAAGCAAGATAGTCTACAACATGACTTTAGACCACAATTTAATGTGTTAAATCTGCTTAATAAATAATAGGACTAAAGTCGTGTTATTTATTGGCTGAGGATTTGCGCACATGGCGTTTGTGGTTTTGTTGCAGACATGTGTTTGTCAAGCTTCTGGGAAGCGGCATTTGAATTTTGAATTGGATTACAGGGAATGGTGTTAACTGGAGTATATCCAGTTGACGCCAAAAATTTAAATGAATATTAATTGGCTTTACGTGGTTGTACCGCGGCTGCAGGCATCATCCTGGTAACGTCTTTCTAAGCTTTTATGTAAAAGTCATCCTAGCGGCTAATTAACTGTTGGATGACTTTTACAGATGGCGAAAGAGGTTGCCCCTCCCGCCGCCCCCTGGTGGCCCTCCGGGCTCTACTGTCCCACCAAGCCCAGAATGAAAGCTGGAGCTTTTGCCGGCTTATCACAGAGATCGCTGAGGATCGGAAGGCCCCCAATTATCTCTATGGTATAGGAAACCGAAAGCGGCGAGCCTTTTCATCACGTCCGGTTCCCCGAAAGTAAACAGCTCCATTTTTAAATAGGAAAAGCATCTGAACCCTCCACTCTTGGTGTGATCAGATGCTTTTAGGGCATCTAATAGACCCCTGATCTTGCCATAAAGAATACCTGTCATTGCTTATTTACATTCCTTGTGACAGCAATTTATTTATTTAGGTATACTTATATAGCACTGTCAGTTTATGCCGCGCTTTACGTATGTATAGTGCATTCACATCTGTCCCTAACCCTCAAGGGGTGTACAATCTAAGATCCCTAACTCACATTCATACATACACATACTAGGGCCAATTGAGACAGGAGCCAATTAACCTACCAGCATGTCTTTGGAGTGTGGGAGGAAACCAGAGTACCCGGAGGAAACCCACGCAGGCACAGGGAGAACATACAGACTCCAGGCAGGTGGTGCCGTGGTTGAAATCCCTAACCCTCAAGGAGCGTACAATCTAAGATCCCTAACTCACATTCATACATACACATACTAGGGCCAATTGAGACAGGAGCCAATTAACCTACCAGCATGTCTTTGGAGTGTGGGAGGAAACCAGAGTACCCGGAGGAAACCCACGCAGGCACAGGGAGAACATACAGACTCCAGGCAGGTGGTGCTGTGGTTGAAATCCCTAACCCTCAAGGAGCATACAATCTAAGGTCCCTAGCTCACATTCATACATACACATACTAGGGCCAATTTAGACAGGAGCTAATTAACCTGCCAGCATGTCTTTGGAGTGTGGGAGGAAACTGAAGTACCCAGAGGAAACCCACGCAGGAACAGGGAGAACATACAGACTCCAGACAGGTGGTGCTGTGGTTGAAATCCTTAACCCTCAAGAAGCATACAATCTAAGGTCCCTAACTCACATTCCTACATACACATACTAGGGACAATTTAGACAGCAGCCAATTAACGTACCAGCATGTTTTTTGGAGTGTGGCAGGAAACTGGAGTACCCGGAGGAAACCCACGCAGGCACAGGGAGAACATGCAAACTCCAGCCAGGTGGTGCTGTGATTGAGGATTGAACCAATGACCCCAGTACTGCCAGGGAAGTGCTAACCATTTAGCCACTGTGACAGCAATAAAAGTGATTACAAAATGTAAAGAATCAGTGTAAAAATAATAAAAAAAATTAAAAGTAAAATCATTTTTAAAGCACCTCCATCTCCCCGTGACCGTGCGCAAAGACAAACACACATCTTGGTCCCGCACGCATACGTAAATGGCGACACATGTGAGGTATTGCCGTAAACGTCAGAGCGAGAGCAATCATGCTAACACCAGATATTCTCTGGAACTCTAAACTGGTAACCTGTAAAGACTTTTAAAGCATCGCCAATGTCGACATTTGTTTGTTACCATTCCACGAGTTGGCCCAATTTTAAAGTGATAGTAAACTTGTTTTTTTTAATTTTACCTACAGGTACGCTTATAATAAAGCTTATCAGTAGGTAAAATGAATATCTCCATAGTGTGCACCATTTATTGGTGATCCTCGGGGTGCTGGTGACATTCTCCCTTGCGTTTAGTTTTTTTTTTTTTCTTAAGCCATTGCATGTACTCTGATGGAAAGGCATATCCATGCTTCTCCTTCAGAGCTGTGTGCCGTGGCCTGGGACTCCCACGCACATGTGCGGGAGTGGCGTCATCTCGGCCCGACCCAGGGGCAGACTGACCATTTGGAAACTCAGGCACTGCCTGAGGGCCCGGGGTCAGTAGGGGGCCCCATGAGATGCCCCTGGTACCTTTTTCATAGGCTTTTTTGAGTTTGGGCAAGGACACAGGGGCCCCATGATCCCCTATTGCCCGGGGGCCCCATGAGTTGTCAGTCCGCCCCTGGCCCAGCCTGTCAAATGGCGGAGCTTGCGAACCCGGAAGGAAGACCAGATGAAGATAGAAGCCTCTACAGCTGTGACAATGCGCCACTGGAGGGCTTCGTTTAACCACTTGCCGTCTGGCTGCTGTATATAAATGGCCGGACGGTGGCAGTCCAGGGGCAGGTTGACGTTCATAAACGGCACCCACCATTATGAACTGTGCGCGCTCCCTGGGAGCGCGCAGCACCGCGATCCTCTGGACACAGTGGAACACCGATCGTCGGACGGGACCTCTGTACGAGGTCCCGATCATATGATCACTGATTGGCCAATCAGTGATCACATGAAGAGTAGTAAGCAAGATGTCACTTCTGACATCATTGCTTACTACGTGTGAAATCTGTGAATTATCACAGAGGTCACATGGTACAGGGCTATTCACAACAGCCTTGTACCATGTGACAAGCTGTGACCAATCACAGCTCGCACAGTAGTTCTCAATGGCTGCAAGAATGCAGCCAGAGAGAAGGAGAAAATTATTATTATTATACAGTATTTATAAAGCGCCAATAGTTCGCTCAGCGCTGTACATTACAAAGGGGGACAGAACATGCGACAGAACAATACCAATACAATGCAAAACATGAGGGGATCGAGGGCCCTGCTCTTTCGAGCTTACAATCTAGGAGAAATGATTGCTTTTACAGCCTTTATGGGTGTAAAAGCAATCAGTGTAAAAAAAAAAAATCTTCATCACCCCCCACAAGTAGTACAGTGTCACCATGGTGACACTGTACTGCTAGGGTGACAGTATGTTGAAAAAAAAAAACAAATAATAATATAAAAAAAAAAAAAAAAATGTAAAAAATTTTTTTGGTTATAAACTAATTTGGGTTTTTTTTTTTTTTTACTAAAAAGATAACCAAATAAATCTTGGCCAAGCTTTATGATGAAATATTATTTATTTGCAAAATTTTATAAGA